GGAAATCCAGGAATACTAGAACTGTGTGTCGCCTATACGTATGGCGTTGTTCTAGCACCTGAAGCAGTGTGAAGATTCGGTCAACGCAACCCCTACCAGGCCGGAATCCCGCTTGCCGCCGTCGAGTCAGTATCTCGCGAGCCACCGTAAGGCGACGAAGCACAATTGACGCCAACGGTCTCGTTACAACCGGGGTCAAGCTGATCCCCCTGTGGTTACCACGATCACTGCGAGCCCCTTTTTTGAAAACGGGCACTATCACGGGACAGAGCGTCGCTCATCCTTCAATCACGGAATCCACATCATGTGGTCACGTGTTGACTAAATTCTCGAGTGGCAAATTCTCAGGAAGAAGGCTCACGTCGTGTGGATTTTTTTTCTTCTGAGCAACTTAATTCTGATTGTCGGAAAGTGTCAACATAGCGTACGATTCGAAATGTCAGAGCGCCATCCCAGCTGCACAGTACTGGTACCTGAGCATTCCGGAGGTCAGTTAGGTTACTTGACCAGGTCAGCATTCATCGGCTAGAGTGACTGTTTCGGACAAAATAGAGCAAGCACTACTGAAACCGAACGCAGTTTGAACACAAAGCCTGTTCCGCTGGTTGGGCTATTTATATGAATGGGCAATACGAATATCACGGAACAAGTTATTGTGATCAGTTAGAGAATGGACATCGGGATGACCTTCAGATAAGACTGAGAAGCTGTACTTTCTAGTGCTGGTAATGAAAAGACCAGATACTCGAAATGTGAGTTTTAAGATCGGTTGTTTACAGTGACGTGAGAACCTTTGGCATACCATCCCCCTTAACGCTGTAAACCAAGCAAATCAGGCAAAAAGTCGATCAGTCTTCCTGGTCACAGCGAAGCATTCGGACGACCGAGCCATGTGGGTCACTAGCCAACCTGCCGAGCGTAAACAACTGCAGATTTGGGAAGAGCTTGCTAAGCAACTGGTAGCTTTTACTTGGGCAACGTTTCGCTTATGACACACAGTATATACGAATGCGCCCAAAGGGGACTCTTTAGAAATAGCTAAGCGACTGCTACAAGCAGACACCACCCTTTCAGAACGGACACAGCTCATGGTGGATGAAATAGTGGAAGGCATAAAAGCATGCCTGAATCTCACCCACTTCGTTTTCGACAACATGGTTCACACTCAAGAACAAGGTCTAGCAATGGGATCTCCAATATCCCCGGTTTTGGCAAATATATTTATGGAAGAATTTTGAACACACTCTAGCCGGATTCCCATACCCACCCGAGATATTCTGGCGGTATGTGGATGACACATTCGTCGTCATGAAACGGGGAAAGGTTAATGAGTTTTACAATTATCTGAATGAACTGAGTCCACAGATCAAATTTAGTATGGAGATGGGGGTCAATATCGGGTACACTGACCTTTTTGGACTACATGACACATAAGGTCCGCGGGAAACTAAAGAACACAGTGTACGAGAAGCCAACCGATACTGGGGCAGTTTTGAACTACTCGTCTGCCCATCCAAAGTGGGTATTCGCCAGTATTGTGTCATCAGTGTTTATGCGTGTAAGGGCATTGTGCACAGAAGAACCTGATCAAACAGCAGCCTAAATTGAAGTGCAGAACAAACTTCGGCGTAGTGGGTATCCAGCTAGCTTGATTAGGCGTCAATTGTGAAGGGTATTGGTACCGTTAGCGAAACACAATAGGGAATGGATCGGAACAGCTGTTATTTCATATAAACCAGGGACATCGGAGATCATTCGAAGAATTCTAAACACGGCTAACATAAAGATAGCTTTCCAGAGGGGGAACACTCTGCGCTCTGCACTGGTACAATTGAAGGATCGCCTCCCGGCAAAAATAACCAGGGACTATCTGCAAAATTACGTGTAATGACTGCACCAAGGTCTATATAGGACAGACAGCCAGGGAACCACACATCGGAGCCGGAGAGCACAGTAAAAAAATAAACAGACCGCCGAGAAATGCAGATGAATATCAAGCGTTACTGAAAGACTCGGCGATTGCGGAACACGCACTCGACACAGGACACAAAATAGATTTAGAAAATGTTGAGGTTTTGAGGCGAGGACTACGGTCCACGTCACACAGACTGATCGCCGAGGCGGTAGAAATCGCCGCGCATCCCAGTTTTAACAGAATAGAAGGCGTGGAACTGGCAAGCGTGTGGAGAACGGTTCTGGATCAGTCGAGCTGACACGTGTTGGTTTGCGGTCATCAGAAGTAAGAGTGGTCATCATCTGGATTCCACTTGACCTCAACCCCCTCAAACTAAGTTATCGGAGCACTCGCAAACCCACAAAGACCAGGGAAATTCTAACAGTGGCAACCGAGGTGATTTATCAACTGAAGCACCCTAAAGTGAAAGATTAACCAAACAAACCCCATCAGAATTAATTTGAAACTTCCCCTATCCACTAAAGTAAGACTTTGTCAAACTCACTAACCGACAAGAGCCGTTAATCGACACTTAATACTGATCTAGTTTGATAATCTGTATAGGACTGACTTACTGATTGGTTCCCCGTCTGCCTTATAACCTGGCCAATTTGGTGACCTGCTCACTTGGCCTGATGGAGCTTTTGTGTCAAAAGCGAAACGTTGCCCAAATAAAAACTACCGATTGTTTATCAAGCTCTTCTGAAACATGACTTGTCAATCGGTTGCAAACCTTTTCCGATTGATTGAAAACTTCAGATTTGTTCCGTTTCCAAATATTATCTGCGTAATTAAAGACCGTCTTGATGGAGAGTTATCGGCCGGTAACCGGGGTCATTCGTAATGGGAATGTAAGTCTGCAACAGGCCTCCGAATGGTCATCGGCCAGTCATATTTTGTCGGGTCTAGGGCTTGTACGCGCACATTGTTGGTAGCTAGCCAAACATGCGCAGGCTGCTAGTAACTCAAAACCGATTGCCAAGCTAAACCGATTCAGATACCAGCTCGCTCTATGGGTCTGAAATACACCAACTGACGTAACAGTCCAAACACATGTTTTCTCCTCTTCGCCAGACTAACCAGCGTCTTCCAGAAAACTTCAAAGAATAACCTACGGACCAGATAAGCCCCGCGAAAAAATCAATCCTCGCCACCCAAAAAAGATGAGACAAAAAAGGATATGAAATTTTTAATTTTAGTTTTTATTGAAGAGGGTGAAATTGGGAGGTGTCATTAATAATTTGCATGAGGTTCTTCCAGTCAACAGCGGTCGTGTGGCCAACAGATAATTCCTCTGGGTAGAATTTGATTTTTGCGAAATTTTTGGACCAGCAATAAATGAATATAGTTACTGTCCTAGATTCCATCCTAGACCGCTCCGGCCAAGTTCCCTTTGGAAGACCGATTTCATGCCGACACTGTCGGGCATTACACCTCCACCTATCGGAAACAGTTGAAAGTAAAATTTGGTGGTGGCCATTGTTGCATAAACATTGCTGATGGATCACTCCGTAGCTTTGCAAAAAACGTATTGCCGTCTCCTTGTCATGAACGAAGAGCTGAGACGTCAGAAAGCTCATTTAAGAGTTTATGTTCGAACGGAGAGAACTTTTTCACAAAATGAGTCTAGATGCGGATAAGGAATTGTTTTCATCAAAAATAGGCCAAGGTTGTGTGCGTACATTAAATTGGAGCTGGCACAAAGTGGCGAGGCTTAACTTTTCGCACATGCACTTTTTGCATTAGTGGCGGGGCTTATCTGGAAAAGATCCGGACCAACCTAACGAATGTTATCAGAAATGCACAAAGACTTTGGCTCACTGAACTGGAGGAAGACCAGATCACGTCACCAGTGGACCACAGTCAGGGATGTGCTAGGCACTGTGCAGCTGGCACTCACTAAGAGGAGATGCATTGTAACCCATAGTGCATTTCAGTTTCCGTATATAGTACAAACTAATTTTCTGTGCATATGCGGAGCACTCAAAACATATTCTGCACTAAAAACGTGATGTTTAAGTTTCGGACCTCACGTTATATGTAAGTTGATGGTTGCTTAGGGAGTGACGCGCTGGTCGAACTCCTCTCCTCATGGCTGACTTACCACAAGGATACACTGATCACTACTCAGGATAGAAAAGCAGACGGTGTTTGCCCGTATTCTTAAGCTAAAGCCATCAAACTCCCTCATATTTGAAAATGTTCATTACACGTCAATTCAACGGGTGGTGTCTACAAAAACAATCACCTGGTAGGGCCATTATGTGTGTTTCTCTAATTCCCACCCCCATTGAGGTGCAAATTTGTCGTATTTCACACCAATTTAGATGCAAACCGGGTTTGACCTCAGACAAACTTGAAATACCCACAAACATCATGGTGAGAAAAAGATACTCGCTTCAGTTAGTAGGACGACAAAACCAGTAGAAATCAAAACCCTCTGGCAATGACATGGCATCTAAAAGAGCGGCCTGCATGAGACTTCCTCTCAAATAGGATGGTACAACCGTTCGAACAACTAGATACCTGCATGAATCCGAGTTATAAGCCAGGCTCAAGAGCTACCGCTAGCTTTATTATTACTGGAGCCAAACGTCGTTGCATCGGTTCCCATATAACCAAGGGAAATTTGACAGTCTCGACCGACAGGCACCTAGTGCATAAACTGAGAGCACATACACGATTGGGTCTAGAATCACTAAAGGTCCTAAGCTCGAGACATCTGACTGATCTCCTTTGGAAATGAGCTGTAATGTTCATTTTCTTTCCATCGGATGTACATAAATAAATGAGTAAAAGTATCCGATGTGTATGAAAAACAAAAACTAGATCTAGTGATCAGGTCATCCCGCTCTTAGTACGAGTGTCGACGCATGCAAATCATCACTGACTGATCAGTCTGTAACCGTGACTCAATGATCTTGTCGTACAAACACCACAACTTTCCGAATATCGGTAATTGCATATTATCGAGTATACATCCTCTGTTTACAAGCTACACTCAAACCATACACCCACAGACACTTGTTTTGAATCTTTCCAGATCAGCCCGTTAAGGTCGAGTGTGGATGACGGCACAGTTGAAGACTTGCCATCACCAACTCAGCTTCCGAGTTGGGCGTCTTTCCCAAACCTATCAGAAGATGTACCTGATTCCTACGATGTAAAGTGAGTGTAACAGAATACGGTAGAATTCCATGCGTTCTACTATTTGCCTCATTGATCGATTATCTCATTCGTAAGCAGAGCCAATTCAAGAACCAACCCGGTGGAGAATCGGACAACTGATAAATCTTATCAGTCGTCGGGGAGATATTTTTTAATTCTTTCATGCTTGGTGTAGTTACCCTATAAGCACACGTATGTCCAATATGATTCCAACAGAAGTGTAATAGTCCTGCATGCCTGTGATATACAGGGCAGTATCATACGACCTTGCGCCTAAATCTTCTGAGATTGTACTCACAATACCCGGCTCAAAAACAGCAACAAATCAATAAATAAGCGCTTTGTCGATCGACAGACAGGAAATTTATGCCACAAACATGTTGTGGAATGCGCCTGCTTACCACAGAAACATGCATCATAGGAATCACAAAAATTTCCCCTAAACAGTTCCACAAAAGTCGCTGATGCAACAATTTTGATTCATAAAGAACCACGTGGTTAGCGAGCGGTCTAGGATCACCAAATCTAGGTGAGCCATGGGTCACGAGAACTGAAGAAGATATTCAACGGCCGATGATAGGGATGGCCAATTGTGTTCGGAGCTAACAAACGTGGTCGTTTGTCAGGACAAGTCATTATGCGGTATGTCAAAGATAAGAAGTCGAAAGAAACCATCTTCAGAAGGAAAGTGATGATACTTTACAAGAAACAACATCCGGTGGCAACAAAACTGTCTCCTGCCCGAATCGGAGTCAGGGCAAAAAAAGTGATATGAAAAATGTAGTTTATGGTCTTTAAAATGTCATGCCTGTGGACATGACGTGATGTCAGCCTCTCGCGAACCAACGCTGAGTAACGTGTAGGCGTATGTTCCCTCACGGCTTGGACGCAATCCAAATCAAGCACATTTAGTTTACACACTCCACTGTATGATTTCGGTTAGGTTTCGGATTGGGCCAACTTAGACTCTTATAAACCTCTTTCCTGTGAGACCAGTAGTGGTCCTCATCCAATATCTAACTGTTTTTGTCACCGCACATGTCACACTCAGTTCTTTGCGACTCCACGCGTTTCATCTTTCCTCTCTGTCTTTATCGCATTTACTGACATTGAGAGTTATTTCCCGTTGCGGGCAGTTTAGGTTTTGCCTTCCGATCAGAACAATAACCAACCTCTTCATAAAACTGGAGGGCTAGATCAACGAAAGTATGTTTCACCATCTCTCTCATGTTCACACGTGTATACCTCTGTAGATGCGACTCGAAGTACAGTTTCAGGGTTTGCATTGTACAACCCCACCGTAAGGCTATAAGCTCACAAGTTAACATTGACGTGAATCAAACTGATGGCTGAATGTACAGTAAAAGTGCTCCTCTATTTACATGTTAACATATACAGCGAATACAATGAGATCAGACAAAAAAACTGTTAAACCACTCCCATGATGGTTGTTCCATTTCTGCCTTTGTGATACTTGGTTGGAGAAAGGGTGTTTCTGGGGATTTTTCAGAACTAAAGAATCAAACTAACACAAATGCTCTCCTTCATCTGATACAAACAGAAAACTTTGTGCCTACAAGTTGACAGAAATGATTACGGCCAAAAGCATCTTTTTTGTATCTGAAGTATTTTGTGTGGATATTTTTATGGAGAGAGATCACTGTACAATTTACCTCAGAATGTGGTGCGATGTTTACTTGTTCATTACCTAAGAAAGAGATCTATAGGCTTCAAACCGTACTCCAGTCCAGAAAGTAGCTAACTTCCCTCGTTTGGCATTCACTTCAGTAGTTGCCGCGTCCCGGACCTTACCTGTCATCAATTCTAGCTGTAAAACATATTATGTATTCCAAACAATCACTCAGTTGAAAAAATCATTCAGCAGTAACACCCTTTCGATGCCTAGCTGCTATGCCACCCGATACTGGGATACTGCCAGGTTTTCCAAACATGGACAGGGGAATTCGAGATTTATGAGGTTGGGTTCGAACCACGGACCTTCCGGGCAGTAAATTCGCGCTCTTACCACTTGAGCCATCGCGCTCCGATCAGTGAGTTAATTGAAAACGAACCTAGAACAGTGCTTGCCGGACTATGTCATGCCTCCATTGGAAAGATGAGATCGAATACGGACAAAAGACCTCATATATCTTAGCTTATCGGTACCTTGCTTATGGTGCAGGTAAATTGACTCCATTCTGCAACTCCGCATGCTTGACGACCAGATGTGTGCGGACGGCGAACCAGTACCGTTTCCACTGTCAGACACTGCGGATGAACTCGAGGCCAACATTAGATGGTAGAAAACGCCAACAGAGATAAATTTGTGTGTTGAGCGCTCCTTTATGTGCGGATCAAGTATCAATGTCATCAAAGTATACGTTGTATGCAGCCAAGTTCTGAAGACCAGAACGACCCAACTTGTTTCAGATGTGATCTTCAGGCATCAATGATTGATTAACATTACATTTCATAGCGACCTCACACAGTAGCGTCCAGCTTTCGGGAAAACCAACAGTCGAAGGAGGGATAAAGATTTGATGGACCTAGACTCGCGTTCTTGAGATGATCTCCTAATGCAGTAATGTCTCTTTGGCGCCATCTATGTACATCTTCCGTCCACCCTTAGCCGTCTTCTTGGAGAACTGTCCTTCAGGTTTGACCTTTTGGTGAACAAAACTATCGTTTCAGAACAGCTGACTTTGAGAATGAGTTGAGTGTATCCTCCGACAAGTTCAATGAATAGTTGGATTAAAAGCAGACCACGTAACAGTCAATAGATTCCTCATACGCTAGAAAAAAAGTGGCTAAGACGAAGTCCATCAGTTGCACCACGCCTTTTCAGTCATCTTAGAAGTCCGCTGCTGCAGAATTTTTTTGTCCAGGGAGTTTCCTAAAAACGGAACTTCACGCACGAAGCCACAAACGAGTAGCACTTTGAAATCAGCACATATGCTTTAGGAAGCAGAACTCAATCATCATAAAAATCTACGCAATTCACCTGAACCCAACAGCGATCAAGTTATTTGCACAGACCATCAGTCTCGCTAACATAAGTATGGGTTATCGGAGATACAAAAATATCTTTCTTGTCTACGGATTTCGAATCAAATGTCGCGTTCGAGACTCAAGATTTACTTGAAACACCCCAACACGTCGGAAAGTTCCGTCTATTCGAATACTACCTGGGAGGCCAAGATCATCATCTCTGGTACGCTTTTACCGTAACGTCAATTTTAGTTGATACCCCACTAGTTGTTGTTGCTGATCGAGAGCCGTGACATATCCCTGTCTAATCCACTGCCTCGACGTTAGTTGTTGTTCCTCTGTTGCATCCTTCCTGATTCTACATCCCATTGCAAATCTAGACTATTTTCTGAAGCACCTACGCTACATTGACTCGTCAATCCGTTCTCGCATACAGATCAACGTCGCCTACTACTGATTCAGGAAGAAACTCTCCGGGTGAACGAAGGAACGCGTTCTCCAACTCATCCATGGAAAACGATTTCGCCTGCTTCTCGGACGGCGAGTCCAAACGGAAGGGGTTTAAGGAGAAACCAGTGGAGGGGTACCGCCCTCCCATAATTCAGAGAAAGACGCTAACGTCGNAAAGAGCTAGGAGTTAAACCCGGGCCGTGGTGCGTGAACTGGAACCGTATTTATGGACGTTAAAAGGGGACCATCCGTTTCGTTTCCATTAATGTACTCTTTATAGGAATGGATTTTACTCCACTTAGGATACACAGTTACCAAGTTCCGTAGAGTGATAGCCTGCGTGTAGCTGTCACGTTTCCTCATCAAACTGATTGGACTGGTCCTTGAAAGCCGTTAAAACAAACTCTCCTATTGCTTTGCCATTAGTACAATGCCCCCAATAAGAGATTAATGAGGACCACCCACATTATCGCTTGATCGTGTTGATCTATTCAGAGACTTAATTAGCTAAAGTCAAGCGCCTTGACAACTGAACCGCGGTACACCTCGTTAGCCCAGAGCAAACATTGGCGATCAGTTTAGGCTAGAAGGGAACTCACGGTAGCTGCGAAATGACTCAACCTTCTTGCAAGTTGTGCAGCAATGTCGGAAACCTATCAGTGTAAGGTGTTGAAGCACCTTGCAATGACACCGAATACTGAGTGATTGTCGTGGACAATGCACAAACTCGATACCGCCGGAAGACGCTAATCCACTCATGTTGGTCATTCGTGGCCACACGGTATGGCATTCACCGATGACACCGAATACTAAGTGATTGTCGTGGACAATGCACGAACTCGATACCGCTGGAAGACGCTAATCCACTCATGTTAGTCATTCGTGGCCACACGGTATGGCATTCAACTATTGTTCAGAAATTTACGAGTTTGCATCTTCCTGTAAATTCGTCAAACGTGTATTGCTGAAGCTTCCGCACAAGGATGAAACAGCTGTCCCTGATTTTCGACACGAACTGGTTTCAACCTCAACAAGACACCTCCAGTCAACCTTCAAAGTCTCTGCTACTCACAAAATATGGAAACATTCGCTAGTTGCATTGGCGTTCCAGCTGGGAAGAGCAATTCTAAATCAGGAAGGTTGATATGAACAGTGACTAAAGGATGATGGCGCCGTAGCTTACCAAAATTGGGGAAGAACCATCAATGTGTGATTAGATACGTATACTATTCAGTTAACAGATCGTGGATTCGAGTCTCCCAAGAAGTTCATCATTTGCAGAAAAGCATCACTGTTGAGCTCTGACGTTGAGCAACGGACATTGATGACGATGATGGTCAGTTGCGCGCTGTTGGTGATTCCCAACAAGAATAAAACCACTACATAGTGCTTCTCCGCAAATCAGGATAAATTGCTTCTACTTTTAGAATGATATCGCTGTTGAGATATGGTCCAATCAACGTGAAGGTAATATGGTCGGGCAGGCCTCATGAGATGGCGGCACTCAGTTCATAGAGATGGACGACATGGAGTAAATTTCAGTCAAGAGAGTGAAACTTGACTTAAATGCGCATAAAAAGTGAAGAATGTATTTGACCGTAAAAGAAAAAACATCGTAAAAAAAACTACGGCACCTTTGAGCAAACAGTGTCTTCAGAAGCCCTACGGGTCAGTTGGTCGAAAGATGGAAGGGATCTCGGAAAAATTCCAACAAGGGGTGTGACAAAACAACAGAGAACTCAAGTGCACATGTGTAGCATGCGACAAAGTCCGTGATAGCCCAGTTGCTAGAACAGGTATGCGTGTTTGAGATTCGCCAAAGGACCCTGCCTTTTCTTTTGCATTACTCGTGCCTGCGTCCAGTAATAGCTGGGGAAGAGCCCGCAGTAAACCGATTGGCTCGGTCATACTTCAAGATTGTCGTCTTCACACTATGCCAAACATCGGAGACTGTAATGATCAGCTCATTGCCTCACGACTCCCTAGACTATCGTTACAACCGATCCCGAATCCGGTGCTATGGTGGTTATTTATGGAGGGGTTACGGGAAGTCAACCACAATGTGAATATGCAAAGTACAATTCAAGTCAAATTCTGCACTCCCTCTGGTCACTACCGTCATCATCATCATCATTGTTGACACTGATGGTTCGCTGTTTTAAGCCCCTAAAGTTAAAAAAGGGTGGATAGGAGAGATACCTGACGTTAGCTCCCCATAGCCACTCTGGGGTGTCCACCCCCCTCCAAACAACAAATCGAACTACTCGGACAGAAAGTTAAAAAAGAACGACACCACTGTCCGTTAGCTGCTATATTTTGTGCAAAAGGAATCCGCGAAGATTGACTGCATCACTAACACCAGCCCTCTTTCACACCTTGCCGCCAAATCATACGCCTTCCAATACGATTTTTGCGCCGTTCCGGAGGAAGCACGGCAAATCGTCACGGTAGACGATTTGGCATGCGCCGGAGTTTTGAAGACATTTCATCGTTCGTTGTGACTTGCTCAACGGTTGTGCAACTGTGTTGGTCCTTGGCTCCCTGCTCCGCCCACTGTAGTATATCAGAAGACACGGTAGCTTCAGACAGCCTCTTTATGGAGACAAAGGAAAATCGCTACAACCGTATTTATAGGGCGATGACAGAACGTTCCACAAGATCATGTTAGAATCTCCGTGAGGGGGCGAGAATCCAGATTGGCTAGCATTCTGACCAATCACGACATGCCTTCGTTTGCCTGCAGGTGAGACATCCGTCCAAATGTTCGGTTCTTAGGGGCGGCTGGCCTCCGGACAGTTCGCCTGATTATTTCATCGACGACGAAGCTGATAGCAATGGACAGAATGGACATCCTTGTCAACCACCACTTTTTGTAGAGAAGCCTTTGGAGAGCTCAACGGACACTCTCACACGTCCAGAAGCATGTGAATATGTGGACCGGATTATGATCACAAGCTTCCGGGCCATATCCTGTTGAGCAAATATACCTAACAGCACTGACCGATCGACAGAATCGAACGCAGCCTTAAGGTCAAAGAAAACCAAAGTTGTGGGCTCTAACACCTGACGCAATGTGAATGTGTGATCGGTGCAGCTCCTACCTGGTCACTAATAAACGACCAGAGTTCGCTGGCTAGTGATTGTCAAAGCAGTTTGCATCTGACTTTGCTATGCTGAGGTATGTGCGCAGAAAACGTTTGTACGTGTTCCAACAAACCAAATGAATCACATGACCATAGACACCTGATGCCACTCATCCATAGCTATTTTCAGCCGTTAAGTTACAGTAGCTAGTGAAAGCCTAAGAATTAAGTAATCTGACCTTCAATTTCAACGAATAACCGATATGTTCTGTCAGTCATCGAAACCCAGTCGTGTATTCCGGATGTTTCATGACCCAATCGGACAAAACTGCACGAGTGATATGATGTGAACAGCTGAATACAACTAGAATAATTCCATCGGAATTCATGGTAACTATCTGTGTGTGTCCGGAGACCATCTGTCCCTAATAATCGAACATCAGATCATTTGGACGGATGTGTCACGGACCAAACGAAGACATGCCCTAAATGATCAGAATGCCAGCCAATCCGGATCGAGCATCTTTGACTCGTGTGGAACACTCCGTGACTACCCTATGAATACAGTTGTAATAGTTTTCCTTTGTTTCCATAAGGGGCTATCCAGAGCTACCGTGCCTTTCGATATACCATAGTGGGCGGAGCAGGAAGCCAAGGGACCGATACAGAGTTGCACTACTGTTCAGCAAGACACAATAGTATATACGCATGCTCCTTCGACTGTTAAGCATGGGCTGATACCCCATGTGAAAATACTAAAGCCCGCGGTTCGATACCAAACTAAACTTTCAGAAATCCGTGGTTCTGTAGTCTAACAAACGGCTTATGGACAGTACTCAACGCCTGAGTAGTACAAGTCATTGGCTCATCAGAAATCCATACTCTTAGATTCAAGTATCTAGCTGTTTATACGGGCTTTTGAACGAACTGTACTGACATACCTCGAGGTATTAGGCCATTGTGGGTGTTCGAAGAGACTGACCGTGACTACCCCCACACAGACCAAAGCGTACTAAACCATAGCCAGGCATAAAGCATCGGCGGGTGTGGCATTGTAAAGTAGGTTATCAATGCACGCGAAGCGGACACCACTGAGTTACTACCCTTGAAGCTCCGGACTGTTAGGTCCACAATGGTGTTATATCTGTGCCCACGATCGCATGGGTCACCCTCCAGCTAAACAGTGAAATTTAACCGTTCAGCTCACCCCCACATGGTTTGACAAATATGGGTTAGGTGTGCTGGTAACTGTAGAACAGTTGAATATTTTTCAGCAGACTTCAGCCAACAAGTGAGCAGGGTTCGTCGGTGCAAACCGATGAGAGAATCTGGAAATAGGTTTCAACTAACCGTGTTTCGCGACGTGGGGAACCAGGTTACTCGAAGCGTACTCCACTGGGTTCAATTACCAGTTCCCATTTCGGTCTACAACTGACGCGAGTCCGCCACGTGTGCATGAGAAAGGGATGAAGGACAACGAAATACGAACTGTCCGTTGTTGTGACTGGTATTCTACCATAAATCAGGCCATTTCGAATCAGCTAGGCTGTCTTCCGCATAAACAGAAAATATGTGCACGCATGTCAGGGGAGGCCCCACTCGAAGGAGTCTAAGAGGGATGATTGCTTCACAACTACCTCTTTCATCTGTCCCCCAGGAGTGAGCAACTTGGTCACAAATGCTTTATCACTAGGTTGGGTGACATCATCCATGTCCGGTGACGATGCCACCTCGCCTGGCTGCGAAGCGTTCGCTACGGAGTGGACGTCAGCAAGTTACCGATATTCGACTCAACAGTAAACACCCAGTATCTTTAGTATTTAGAAGAATGAGGTCACCGGCGAATGAATTAAACATAGTACTTATAAAGTATTTCCCTCTACAACTCTCAGAAATCGCTTCACTTGAACTACGGCTCAAATCAGGCAGTGTTCTCCATCACAACAAAATACCAAGGAACGTCTCAATGCGGCTGCTTCATCTATCTTTGGAAATGGACTGAAAAGCTCGTTATTTCGGACATTGATGGGACCATTACAAAGTAAGTGCGAAACTTGTGTGTCAATGGTGATAGCAACCTACGCTACACTGGTTACGTGTTTAGTTGGAACCGGTTACAGTCGTGAGAGGCTGTGAACGAGTGAATGAATCGCATTGGGACTCACTCCTCGCAGTGATTTATGAGGAAAAACCATTTTCAGATTTATTATTCTCGGGATAGGGACACTACTTGTATCTTGGATACGATTCAAACGGTTTAACCCCGCAAATAAAAGTATTGAATAAGACGCGCAGGAAAAATGGCTACCTAAGGGGTCAGGTCACGTGGTTCTACTGCTTGACAATGAGGTGAGTAGATTCGCAGTGAGAAGTTATCCTTAACAAAAGCATAAAACATGGATTCACCGTTACTGACCCGATGGGCATACAATGCATCAAATTGGGTGTGGTAGGTAACCTCAAAACCCAACACTCTAGTTTCAACTTGATTATATGGAACTGCATAAGGTGTGCCACGATGATGACAGAGTCATCCTGTTGTACTTCCTCTAACATAACGGTGACTCACAAGTTCTGATTGCTTTTCCCACGTAATTACATTACTTTGCCCAGTTAAGGCTCATTGAAAAACGACATTTTGTTGCCTTTCAGGCAGACGGACAAGTAATTTCAGCGTCGTTTCCCACTAGAGATAAAAACCAGTCGGAAAATCACTAGGCATGATGGAATTCACCAAGAGTAGTGCTCCCATGATCTGAAAACACATCTCAGAAAAGTGTATTTCTGAAACTCTCTATACGCGAAGCTGTCTTTCCGTTTTCACCCGATCCAGATCTGATGTTCGAGGTCAGTTGATGCCACTGATGGGTTTGGAATGGGTGCACAATGATGTGGTCTCACTTTACCACAAAATCGCGGCAAACGGTTATCGGTTTTTGTATCTTTCTTCGAGATCAGTTGGACAGGCTCGCAGTACAAGGGGCATGTTGTGTTCGCTTGAACAAAATGGACATCGTCTACCCGATGGTCCAATTCTATTGGCGCCATTCTCCTTATGGCGGGCGATTCATAAGTAAGTTCTCAACCGTTACTATTTACTCAATAAAACCGATTTATTCGCGAGTAGTTCACTGGGGATCTGGCTACTGGTTACGTCGACTGACATCCCAGAGACAGATTAAGCACCGCACTACTGACACTTCAAATCACCGTCATACACAACCTCATGTTCTCTCGAGGAAGTTAGTCAGAGGTACTTCCGAGCTTACGGCAGCCAACGGCCACTTGCGTACGCATTAACACCAATTTATATGATCCCTTTGATAGGTAGATCCGAGTTGTTTGAAACCATCGTTGTTAGAAACCATCGTTATGAATAAGATAAACCTGAGTTCGCAGAATCCCCACTTTGTTTCGGCAGAAGCAATAATCCATCATTAACCACTTTATTTAAAAGATTGTCACACGTATCAGTCGGAAAACCAAATAGGATGGGTTCAACAAATAAACTTAGTTGAAGATCGATTTGGTTTTCACGAGAGACTCAACTGAATCTCGCGTTTATGATAGTCTTCAATTGAATCTGCTGCACACAGGCCGCCTCATGTTTCAGTTGGCACGAAATTCGAGAGATCGCAGTATATTTTCATAGAGGAAACTACTCACAAGGTTGCTGACAACTCTCCGAAACCCCACGACCGGTTTCGCCGTTCCAGCTCGGGCTCATCAGGTAGGCGCAGTCCCCGAGTTTCCGTCAACTTTATGTTCTACTTGGACCAAAATTGGACTGATTTTGACAAATACACTCATCTGTAAATCCATTTGGTTTTCACGAGACTCAAGCGAACCACTCGTTTGTGATATTCTTCAACTGAATGTGTTGCACACAGGCCACCTCATGTTGATTAATGGGTTCATTTATCTGGTTGTTTCACAAAGTTCGAAAACACAGCCACACCAGTCAAGGGGGAGGGGCAACAACGGCGGGCTCTTGTTTGGTACCCGTCGTGAACAGGAAACAATAATGACTCAATGGTTTCACTGTGTTACTTTCAGGGAAGTCATTCAACGAAAAGCAGATGAATTTAAAATTGCCTGCCTACAACAAGTGCGCAATCTGTTCCCTCAGGAGGCATACAACAGCACATCAGGCCAATTTCCACCACTGGTTGCTGGATTCGGCAATCGGGCCACAGACATAAAGACATACAGGGCAGTGGGTCTTCAAGGAAGTCACATATTCACAGTGAATCGACTTGGTGAGGTTGTCTGCGGCAATGACGAATCAGTCCTCGCCACCGGGAAAAGCCGAGCGTCACAAACGTCACCTCTAACCTACAGGAGTTTGACATCAATGGTGAACGACTATTTCCCACAACGAAAGGTAGCCTATTTCCGATTATGAACGCAATATGGGGCAGGGAGCATTGTTACACTGACCTCCCTGTACCCTATTGACTTTGTTTCTACCACAAAATGTAAAAAAGGCAGCGCTGTATCTCATGGTTGTATTTTCATTTTGTACAGTGAAGTTGATTATTGCTGAACTTCTTCAAGTTTTTCTCAGTTCGCATTCTGTTTCCACGCTGAAAGACAAGAAGGAAAATGCGCTAGTGCAGCTGGTTAATTGATTTACCTTAGCTAACGTGATTACACTAAAATCCACAGTTCCGCACCATCAAGCTTCGGGTCTCCCCGTCTTCATCGACAATTGATTTCAAAGGTGGGTGTTTGGGTCGAACTTGAGGTATCTGTGTTTCGCTCTGCTCGTTTTCTCTAACTCTGATAAGAGTTGACCCCCAAAATAGGCCACGCACGAAACGGCTGTCTGTATGAGGCACCTATGACAAGAGAACAACCTCGAATTTGGCTGGAGGGACAAAAGTTTTTTCTAGAAATCCTGTGTCTGGAAGAGACACCAAAAGAATAGTAAATCGTGTACCGTCCTTAAACCTACCCCTTACCAATTCAGCCTACACAAAACCTACAATTGGTTGAGTGTGTGAATTTTGTGTGAATCACGTGTAAACCTTGTGAAATCAATTGCTACTACCCAACGAACAAAAAGGCTTCTCTCAGGTAATTGAGGAATTTTTAGAATTCGGATTTACATAACGTTCGTTTGACCAACAGTCCTCGTGTCCTGTTACAATTATCATCGTGAGCTCACACCAAAAGGGGGAACATTGGGCTCAGGTTTCGCTTCCACTAGAGTTCCTTGGCGGGATTTGAATTCCGGACGAGCAAGCTACCACCACTAAACCAGTGCACCTGACCGGAGCAGGCGAACGTATTCATGCCTGACGATGACCCAGCAATTGTGCCGCTCGATTGATCCCACCCTGTCAGGACTCGTAAGTCAAATAGCCCCGGGGACGTCTGAAACCTGCCGGACAATTGATGGCTTCGGAATTGGTAGAATCCACACTCACACCCTGTCTTTTGAGTGATGTAAATCCTACAAAAGGATTTATTTGTGAACCACATCGAGTGGGGTGAAAACTATATCACATTGTCGGAGTGTTCAAATTGAGGATTTCCACAGGTTTCTTTTCTATCCCAAGACATGGAGATGTCCATCGTAAATGCAGCACACTTTTCTAGATGGTCGAACGAGTAGTTGTTGATCCATTTGCCAAGTTTGGTAATTGGCTTACAGGATAAAGTAACACAAGATGACCCGATATTCATCGAGTGGATGCGTCCCTCGCCATACGATAAGATGCACTGTTTCCAATTTAGCCGGGCGGCTAGTTCCCAATGAACTGGAAGACGGAGGCTGACAATCAATATGCAGGATTAGCAGGCCTCAATCGAGGATCTGAGACAGCATAGGGCAGTTTACATTTCTAGCCCTGAAAAGCGCAATAATCCACTGAAGGCTTGGATACATCGGATGCTTCATAGCCCAGTGCCCGAGTATGCGGTCCCAGTACTAATGATCTATCAAAGGGAGGAATCATTTGATCGTGTTTCACAGGCTGCCATTCAGGTTTAAAGTTACACTGTCCTTCAATGGATTGAATGTAGTTACCACACGCGGGTTGTTCCACAAACCACTGTATCGAAAAGGTTACGTGCAGTAACAGTTCGCCTCACCGAACGGTCCCAGTCAGAGTGGATGGTCACTCAAACAACGTTGGGTTAATTGAAGAGCTGCGACCAATTAAATTGATCAGCAATCGTTTCCCACTACCCCGAAACATCCTGATTCATTTGGTTTTTCACGTTGAAAAACTGGGACACAAAAAACACTACTCGATAGAGGTGTTTAAAGAAACTGCCAGTTGGAAAACACCAAGTATATCACCGAATCGCCCAAGAATGTCTATCTACCCCATGCGTCCGTACGGTTCGCAGGAGCCAATCACAACTGCTGGAAAGAGATGCTCAACTCACCTCAGATTGAGATCCACCACGTCCGGTGTCTGAGCTGGATCGATGGACTCAGCGATGTCGCCAACCTGATGCTCATCTGCAACGTCGCACAAGTAGTCCAAAATGGCCAGTTGTTCCTCCAAACGAGAAACACGTTGGTAATGTCGCACTACAGTATGAAGCATGAGACAAGCAGCACGATTCACAACCTGATTTTGAAAACGCTCAGAGCAATGTGGTTCACAAAAAAAACCCGGTCGTTGTGCAGCGACATAACTTAGAACATCAGCCTCGTAGAGAGATTAGGTGATTCGTGGTGACTCACGAAAAGATCACTCGATTCAATCCGATAGTCAGGCAATCACTGAATCAGACAGCGATGGTTAGATGATCCAAGTTTGTAATAGATTTGATTGCTGTGTCCTCTGAGCTGAATTGTCCGCAGTCCAGATGGGTTCTTTCGCAAACCAAGTTAGTCGTATCTTTGACTAAAGTGAGTTGCAGTTGTCCAAATTTGATCAAATACAGAGGTTTTATCCAGCATACCCACCATCACGATATCTTCATTATTGCTAATATTGAACGCCTGAATAGTCTTCATATCTTTTGCCCTACCCACGAAAACTGATACGTATATCAAAAATGGGTGACAAAACGGTTCATCATCTTTAGAGGCGAAAATGGATCTTTACGAACTTTCAAGCAATTTGGTTTATCAGCTATAAAACCGTGCACCATGAGTGCATGGCTTCCACAGTCTGTGATTTAGACCACGGGAAAGTGGGAGAGTATGGGATATACGGCAAAGCATCGATGGCGATAGCATGTTTGGTTAGTTCGGGAACTGAGTGATTACGCATTGAAAGCTTTGATTCATGAGCCCCACTGACTGCGCGTTTGGGGGCGATTTCTATCAATACCATCAACAATTGGTGAATTGAGTCCCCATCAAAGGAGGCGGCTACCTTCCACACGCGGCGTGGCCAGCAGCTGCAGGCAAGAAAAACGCACCTGCGTCCAACACAGCTGTGGGAGAAAAAACAGCGCTCTCGAAAAAGACGCTAATCACTAGCAGATATCCCGAACTGTTCGAACGGGCGAGATGGCCCAAGTGGTTAGAGCGCGAATTTACTGACTGAAAGGTCCATGGTTCGACCCCGACCTCTGCCTCTCGACTTCCCCTGTCTAGGGTTGGGCAACCTGGCAGTATCCCAGCCCTCGTGCAACCTTCGGGTGGCATGGCAGCTAGGCACCGAAAGGGCGCTACAACTGAACGATCGAACGGTTCTAGTGCCCAAATCACTGTAGTGCAAGGAGTAGAGAAGATCTCGATCTACTCCAAGAATGTTTGGTTGGCAAACAACATCAAACACTGGCTGATTTCAGCCTTCGCGTACACAGTGGTGTACAGGTTCGATTTATCCACAAAAACAGATAAATTGTACTCCCAAGGCGTGAAACCAGTTCAACTGCTGCAAACACGTCACTGAAGTGACCTGATGACCACTAGTGGCGCTATGTTGACCAAAGCTCATCGTCTAATTTTGCGTGCAAAAACGTTTTGGAGCAACGCACTTGATTGCCCTGGTCTTAATCACACATGATACCAGTGTTTACTGCTACATGTTTACTTGTTTTGTTGATAGCATACGGTATACAAGTTAGGGAAAAACTAACCGCATAAAAGCTGTGCTCCTTAAGCGGGGGGAGGCGGCCTTATAATGAAGGAATGCTGTATTTACGGTACGAAAAAGTCGGCAAATCTTGAAAAAGTGCTCCTCAGGACGTGAGCGCAATAGAAAAATTGCTGAGCTGTGGCACCTTTTCCGTGCCTAGCTACCGTGCCACACAAAGGAGGCACGAGGGCTGGAATACTGCCAGCTCGTCTAAGCCTAGACAGGGGAAGTCGAGATGCGGAGGTCGCGCTCTCACCACTTGGTCCATCTCGCCCCCAGTGCAATAAGTATAGATCGTATGTCAAGGTGGACATATCCTATCACTGTCACATGTCGAGTGATTTGAAATGAGCGCGTAGAAGGCGGTACAAGAAAGAAATGCGACAAATGTCGCATACATGTAAAATGAACTGAATGCTACGACCAGCAGGAAGCGAGAACTGCGGTGAACACTGTCACTAAGAGTTTTTGGAGAATCCCCGATAGCCGAAGAATTACAAATTCAGGGAACAAGAAAGCAATGCCCAGAATTACCCACAATAAGGGTAATAACCGGATCGCACGAGTTGCATTCGCACTGAAGACTCTGAAAGACTTCAAAAGGTTACAAACTCCTTTAAGGGTTTTCCATTCCGAATGAATTGAACTCCTAGCATCAAGGACACCGAAGAACACCGTTCTAGAAGGTCGATCAACCAGTCAGCGTAACCTTGCCGCCGTAGATAAGAGCAATTGCTCCACAGAAAATGCTGTGTACACCTCCCCTCCACAAACTCTATGCTGCCCTGTATGACTGAAAATTGAATCCACTTTTGTGATCGTCCGGAAGAAACTGTTTCTCGCCGTGTCTTGTGCAGTTGCTACGACACAGAACGAATAAAAAACAAAAGTAATCGATACTAATTGTCGATTTGCCCAATTCATCCGGTGTCTTTTTCCTACATTTGTCAGTTACCCAATGAAGGGACTGAGATTGAAGTCAGGTGAAAAAAGCATAAGGGTTAAGTGTACTAATTGAGGTACAAGCTTAGTACTAACAGTGACGAACATTGCAACGGTTTCACTATACCAACTGTCCCCCAGTCCCAACGTCCAAATACTCGTGCGTCCTCCAGGTGAGGAAAGCTAAGATGTTCCTGCTCCTAACTTTTCTACAGCGCCAGTCTATGCGTTGAAAACGTGGTGGTATTCCAGACATAGTACCTCCCTACCACTTTTAAAAGCGGGGCTACCAGCGGGAAACTTTACTTCGTGTCAGTAGCAGGACATCTGGACACAGTGTACACTGCTTACAACCGAAAATAACTTCCAAGAACAACCAGAATATAACTAAGTGAACAAACAAGTGCAGCAGATACGTCGAGAGCCACAGACTTACCAGTATAGGGTAACAACGACTCAACAGTTCTTGCGATTCCTGGCCACCGCAGTAATTCCTCAGGAGTCCAAGTGGTTACTATCCAGTTCAAGATAGCTTGAGCAATCACAGAAGTCCGGACGCGCGTATTCCAATTTATCGCATAAGTTAGAAGTCGCTGAACCAGGTGTTCACTTGATGTGCTATGGACGTCGTGGAACTGTTTGCTGGGATCTGTTGAACGCAATAGTCCATTGAGAGCGGTCTCCAGCTTCGCAACGTGTCCAGAGTAACGAAGTGATTTCATTTTGTTATTTCCTTTCTGAGACATGTCCTCGTCCATGAGTAGCAAATCTGCCAGGGTAGCGAAATGAAAAGGTAAAAGGATTCGAAACAATTGTACTTGGATGAATATGGAACAAAGATAGTGGATATTTTCGTCACAATGTCTCCTCTTGGCGGGCGAGATGGCTCAAGTGGTTAGAGCGCGAATTTACTGATTGGAAGATCCGTGGTTCGAACCCGATCTCTGCCTCTCGACTTCCCCTGTCTAGGCCTGAGCGAGCTGGCAGTATTCCAGCCCTCGTGCAACCTTCGGGTAGCATGGCAGTTAAGCACCGAAAGGGTGCTACAACTGAACGATTTTTTCCCTCTTGGACAGCGATTCATCCAGTTGCGAAACCGAGAAGGGTTTCCTGTTTGTAAATCCCCAGTTCTTTTCGAGGTGGGGGTGCAATAGAAAGCGATTCCATAGTCTCAAATCGCTACTTAAGAGGGGCTCCTCTAGGTGGGAATGCTCTATGAGGAATGCAGCGCAGACTGCTCTGAGGATACCTAAATAAGGTCGCGTCAAGACTGGACTGAGGGACTTCTACAGAGATATGTCGTCCAACAGCATGGGACGTCGTTTACATCACCTCACCTCACATCACGCAAGTCACTGAGTTCGTTGCACAAATGACGGTGGAAACAGTTCGACTTCCACACAAATTTGGTTTTGACGGGCAAATCACCTGGAACCCAGCTGAATCTCTCATTTATGATGTTTTCACCTCTAGCTAATCTTCTAAGCACGAAACATGAAAGGACGAGGGAGTCGCTTACGTAATAAAAAGTAAGCACGCATGTTTATCCCACTGAGTGTTCAAATAGGTGCATTTTGAGTTGACTGAGTCCCAAGAAAACCGAAGAGTTTTCAGCAACCTTATGAGTAGTGGATTAGGTCATCAACAAGCTTGTTCACAGCCGAACCATTAAGATTACGATATTGATTAATCAATTAGACAGAGCTATGACAACCTATGCTGGTGACCAGATATCATATGAATGCTTTCTGAAACCAATAAAGCGTGAACGATGACAAGTGATTAAAAGGCGCCTTCGATAATAAAAGAACGAGATACACAAAGCTGAGGCAGCCTCAGTACGGCCAGTCATGGATCCGGTTAGCTCACTCACCTTGAAGTAGATCCAACGTTCGTTTGGGTTGATCAAGTGTGACGGATAGTCGGAGGGCCTCGGCGAATTGTTTCTGTTGTATCAGATTATCAAGAATTTGTCGCCTGTAGGGGTCCGAAAAATTTATGAGGTAGAACATTGGAATTACGAGTACCAATAAAAACGCGAATGGCAAAAACTGGGGTTCTAATGCTGCATCAAACGCTAAAAACGTCCCTTGGGGGAAGTTGAACTGAGTAGGAAGGTGATGGGGCCCAAAGCCACCATGATGCACACAGTCGAGATACATGTGCGCCATAAAACATAGAAATGACTAGAAATTCATTGATATTGTTCCCGATACGATACTACTTATAAAGCTGACGGAGCACTTTCGACAGCCAACTATCGATTTCATATTTCTTGCAACCAGCCAGTTCCTGAGTTTTCATCAATCACATTTTGCACCTAAATATCCATTATACGTAAGTGAAATATTTTTGCGTGCAAAACTATACAGAATCCATCGTACTCCAACCGGGCACAACCACCCCCCTTTCCTGGGATTCATGTGAGTCTCTTGTTACAACCGAATCGGTGTGTAGATGAATGTCGTTCGCGAATCTCGTGAGTTGACGTAAAACGAATTTGAGGAAAGGTCGGCGGCTGCACCTATCTATTGAGCTCCGAGATGGGTGAAACCGGTCGTGGACTGTCGAAGATTTTTCAACAACCTTATGAAAAGTGTCTGTCTTTCGAGAAGTACCACCTCCCCATTAGGGTTCAACACTCCATGGATGAGTTGGGATGCCGGCAGTCTGCTCGAAAATTCTAACCTAAATACAGAAACCACAGGAAAAACTCGTTCTGGTTTCGCTAATCGCGCATCAAATATACGCGATTTGAACCACAACACTACCATAGCCCCTCTGTTGTTGCACTGTGAATCCGGTGACTTGGGCCATCTTTTTGAGGGATCAATCGAGATTTAGTTCTCAAACTGACATGAATCGATGCCGAAAAGGCTGTTTGTTGCATGCTTGCACGGAATCGCTGGATGAATTTCAACAATCAACCTTGTGATTGGCATATGACCGGGACTCCGGTTTTTCGACAGGCTTTATACGTCGCACAAACTCTTGAGAATTTCATATGAAGGACAACAGATAACGAACAGGCCTGGTTTCCGCGACACCCACCTGTACGACAGCGAACGCGGATGTGGTGCTGTCAATACTGATGATGTGCACCTGCCTAGGGTCGCTTTTCTATCACATTCGGTTAGAAAGTAACAAAACGTGCACCAAACAAACATGCATACATAAATAGCAGATTCGCTGTCGCTTT